TCTATGGCAGTGTAATTGTTCCGTTTACTATTAACTCCATGTTATTAACTGCATACAATTCTTTGTTACTTTTCAAAATTTTCAAATCATCAACAAATTTCTTTGGACAAAGATTCACATCTGCACCACTATCTAGTAGGCATTTTAAATGTTTGTTTCTAAATACAGCTCCTAAATGAACTAATGCTTCCTTATCGTGGTTACACTTGTAGGGCGTTTTTACTGTTTGAACGTTTCGATTTAATCTCGTCGTATTTTTAAAACTACCAACATTTTGTCTGAAGTTATTAGTGTTCACTTGACTGAAGTTTCTGTTATTTTGCTGATAATTACTTTTTCTTTGGTCAATCGTACTGTTGTTTCTGACTAAATTATTATTATTTCCAAACTTATTGTTAACATCTTTTCTCTGATTGTTATTTCTGGTTTCAAACTTATCTCGTTTAATCTCATCAATCATGCTGAACAATTTTTCTATTTTGTTATTCATATTTGTAATTGGATCATCCTGTTTAACAACATTGGATTTCTTATCATCAAACTCGTCATTATCTTGAACTATCTGAATTAAAGATCTCGAATGACTTCTCTTGCCATCATCTGATAAAACTTTATATTTTTCATATAGTTGACATACTTCATCTAATGTTCTTGGTTCTTTGTCCTTTACATAAAACATGATATCTTTATTACCAATGGCATTAATTAAATGTTTTACTGCAAACTTTTCTCTCATGGCATTACTTAACTCTGGATAGGATAGCCTTGACAGTCTGTTAACTTCCTGGGACACATCTCGAATGTTCTGATCTTTTTGTAATCTAAGCTGCGATAAACTATACTCGTGTGTTTCTGAATAGTTCGATGGTCCAAATCGTTTAAACAACAGCTCTTTAATCTCGTTATACGTGACTGTGTCAATATCTGGTAATTCGTGAAATACACCTCTTGCTTTCCCATCTAGTGCATGCAAAAGGGATAGTGCTTTTTCTTGTGATGTCCACTTATTTACTTTTGCGGTTATTTCAAATTGACAAAAATACTCAGTTATATCTTCTGAGCCATTAAATCTACTAACTCTCCACTCTTTAGTTTTACTAAAAATTCTATTATTTACATTTACTTCCTCATCTGGCATCTCACTTTGCCTAGGATGTGTTTTGCGATTTGGCATGGTGCAACTCAAATACAAATCTTAATACTATCAAAATATCAAATGTGTGCAATTACTCGATAATGTAATAAAAATGCAAAAAAAACAAGAAAAATTGTTATATTTTACAACGAGTTACTCAGTAAATCAATCGTAAACGAAATTCGATACTTCAAAAACTGAAGTAATAATTAAAAGTAAAATGGAAACCTCGATAACTTGAAAAATTGTTATTCGAGGCCCCACGTTGGGCGCCAATTGTCGGAAATTTTAAAATAATAAATAATAAATTAATGAGGAGGAGGAGGATTTTTAAAAGGGTGACAAGGCCCCACGTTGGGCGCCAATTGTCGGAAATTTTAAAATAATAAATAATAAATTAATGAGGAGGAGGATTTTTAAAAGGGTGACAAGGCCCCACGTTGGGCGCCAATTGTCGGAGATTTTAAATAATAATAAATTAAAATGATAAGAGGAAGCAATCTCCTCCTCTATCTTTCTCAGGGAATTTTTGTATGGTCCGACAATAATTTTTTGTGTATATTTTTATCGTGAGTTCGACCAGTCCTGTGTGGCACTGGGCTTTTTCGAATTATATGATTTTACTGAGTAACACACGAA